AGTACAGGTAAAGTAAAAAAGTGTTGTCACCTTCAGCCTCCTTTCCCCTTCAGTCCTTCTGTCTTCTCAGTTTGCTGGATATCCCGTCAGATCTTCACCTATGCATTAAGGACATATATAGTATAAAGAAATGTGTGCCTATGTGTTTAGTACACAATTTTTTTTAATACACTGTAAACACACGTAGGTATTCTGCATTTTGTTTTTACACTTAACAGTGTGTCTTCAGAGCTTTCTATCTCACTCACTTGAGCTACTGTGCACAGCATGGCTGCAGTTTGTCTTATATAACTATCTTTGTTGCTGGACAGTTATTTCCAATATTTTGTTTCTGCATTGCAACTTTTCTTTTTAGGGTGTCAAAATCTGAACACAATTGGGAGGTTGTGAAGTTGTTTTTTGTTTGTTTTGCTGTTGTTTTTACAGCTTGTATTGCAGAAAGTAGAAATAATGATTTTCTGTAATAAATAGGTAGGCATTTTATTTCATTTCATTGTTAAAAATATGTGGTCTCTTAAAAAGGACATCCTTCATGGGTAGATATTATTATTTGAAATTTCTATATAATATTTAACACGTCTAGATATTTGAATTGCATAAATTCCCACTGAATAATGAGGCAGGAAAATTTATATGCTGCTTTAATGTGATAAAAACAAAACAATATACTGAAGTAAATATAAAAAAAGGAAAATATCATTTCCTCTCTGATTCTAAAGTTAATACCTACATAGAAAAGACAGAAACTTTGGAAAAGAAAATATAAATCATTCCCAGGTTTTACCCCTAGTAGGCATTATTCACCTTTAGCATTTTGGTGACTGTTCTTCCAGGTGTGTGTGTGTATGTGTATATTTCTATATCAAATCTAATCAGATACAAATTTATGAGTATGCATTATTGTGTGTGTATACAGTGCAGACATCTTTCTCTCAACATGTTTTTCACATGTGTGGAATGTATATATACATACATGCAGATATTGGTATGTAATTGTATAAGTGGATTATGTTCTACATGTTATTCTACAGTTTTTTCACTCAGCAGTGGGTCATAAAGATATTTTCATGCCATTGAATACAGATGTAATCAGCCTTTTAATGTCTGTGTACCATGTCTCTCTGTAGATATACCTGATTGATTCTGATCAGTCACATGGCAGCAGTGGGTCTCAAATGGGCTTTGGTTCTAGGGAGTACTCTGGGCCAGAGACCCTGTGTAGCCTCCTAGTGGGGGCACTAAGGAGTGGTTGAGAGTTAAATGGCTTTTCTTGGCAGACGTGGTTTTCTTTGGTGACTCTTAGTGTCAGTAAGGAGAGAGCTTCCAACAATAGGGCTAAAGGAGTAAGTTCCTTTACGGAGTGTGGGGCTTGAGGTGTGAGACAACAGGATTGGCTGAGGCTTTAAAATGAAAGGGAATTACGCATGTTGAGATGGGATTGACAGAGAAGATAATGGAAACAGTTGAGGGCATCTGGTTCAGGTCAGCAGAGCAAAGCAGAAAATAGAGGAGAGACGTATCAGTTGTGGAAAGGAAGGGACTTCTTGCAGAGTTGGCTACTGATAGCCTTGCCCTCGTGGGTTTGGCATTCATTAGTAGACACTGTCTGAAATGGCACTTGCCATTTGGAACTTAAAAATAAACATGATATTTGTTCTTTGATCTCACAACTTAGACGAAGTGAAATGCAGGTGGCTAGGAGGCTACTATTTCGTTTTCTTACTTCCTTTTTAAGAAAAAAAAAGCATTCTATTTGTAATTTTTGTTCTACTTCCTTATTCCTTACAGAGCACTCTCAGGCACTTGGCTATCAGCCAGTCAGTTTTTTTAAAAACTTGTATGTTTTTGTTTAAAGAGTGTGTGGTCTATCCTTTACTAGAGTATCGTTCTTTCTTTCTTCCCTCCCTTTATTTTTAAGAATCACTGACTGGAAAAACTGCCAAGGCATTATTACTGTAGAGTGACCCAAATTAACAAGCTCTCACGGTATAGGAAAGCACCCTGCATGCCAAAATATGAGTCAGAAAACCTGGTCCAATTTTACCCTGCTAAGTGATTTAACCTTTGGAGCAAGGCTTTATCCAAGATACCCATTTGTGGAGTGGTGTAGAAAAAGAATATGTTTGGGGGGTGCTTATTAATAATTTATTGTATAGCACATCAAAAGTAGAGTTGAACTAGTATCACCACACGATCTGCATTTTTACTCTGCTTTGTTAGGGGCTAGACCAGAATTGTTTTCTCTTCTTGCTGTTGTACACACACACACACACACGCTCACTCTTTGTGATAGGCTTATATACTACATTTAAAGTATGAAGTATGCCTTAAAATAACATGGCATTCATTAAGTTAATAAACGTATTGAATGAAGGCACTCTCATAGATATTGGTTATATGGAGATAAATAACACATGGTCCCCACCCTTAAAGAAATTATTGTTTAGACGAGTGAGACAGAAGTTTATGCTAGAAGAATATGGAAATTATGGAAGATAACAGGCAAAAGAGGAGTAGTCAGTTCTACTATGGGGTTGGGATGCCTGAAAAAGCTTAGCAGGTGATTTTTGAGAGAGAGTTGTACACTACATAGAGGGGGAAGAGGTGGGGTATCGGGGTAGGTGATGCTCAGTTCAGTCCAGAGTTGTTACCTGAGCCATAGAGGCCTGAGACATGATGACACTGCAAATAGCTTCATATGGCTAATATGAAGGGTATGTATGGAGGAGTGGAAGGAGATGATACTGCAGAGGTAGTTAGGGGAGTTTGAATGTTATCTAGAAGATTTTTAAATGGCTAATTAATATTTATTAATTAAAATTAGGTAAAGATTGTCTGGCAAGTCAGAGGAGACAATATTCCAAGCAGAGAGATCAGTTTACAGCTGTTAAAGCAATGTAGATGGAAGTGCTATGGGCTCAGAATCTCAAACTACGTGATTCAAAATTAAAATGAAATTGAGGAAGATAAAGGTGTAGAAACAGTAAGACACGTGACTGATTTTGTGTGTGAGTTATATGAGAGGGAGGAGTTAGGATGATTTCCAGATTAGTCTGTCTTGGGGGATTTTTAGAAGATGCCAGTGGCCATTTGAGGAGAAGCTGGTTTAAGAAGGAATGATAGGGCTTCCCTGGTGGTGCAGTGGTTAAGAATCCGCCTGCCAATGCAGGGGACATGGGTTTGAGCCCTGGTCCGGGGAGATCCCACATGCCGTGGAGCAACTAAGCCCGTGCGCCACAACTGCTGAGCCTGCGCTCTAGAGCCTGCATACCACAACGACTGAGCCCACGCGCCACAACCAGTGAAGCCCACGTGCCTAGCCCATGCTCCGCAACAAGAGAAGCCACTGCATTGAGAAGCCGGTGCACTGCAACGAAGAGTAGCCCCCACTCGCTGCAACTGGAGAAAGCCTGTGTGCAGCAATGAAGACCCAACGCACCCAAATACAGATTTAAGTATTTTATTAAAATTAAGAAATACTTAAAAGATACAGATAAATATAATTAGTTAACCAACTTGTGTACCCACTATGCAGTTTATTTAACTTTTTATTTTTAAATAATTATCGACTCAGGAAGTTACGAGAACGGTATAGAGAGGTCCTTCTGTATAGCCTTCACTCAGCCTCCTCCAGTCACTTGTTCAGTTTAACAAATGTCCTGGACTGGTACAAATGCTAATGTTTTGGGATATATTATGGAACTGTGCAGGTAGTGTGAATATGGATTCTGTACCCCTATGTGGTGCAAACCTGGAGTTTTGATTCTCATAAGAGCCTCTCCTTCCACCTGGGGCAGGGCAGATAGCAACCTTTCTTGCTGCTTCTCAGGACACATAGGTGGAGCTTTTCCAGCTCCTTTTCACATATTGAGGAGCCCTTTTGAGGATCTTGGCTCAAAACAGGTTTTACTTCTAGGTCCCCCCTGAAATAGGCTCAAAATCAGGTCTTCTATCTCTGTGGGCCAATATCTCCCTAGATTGCCTTGGTGTCAGCTGGAGCTTACATCTTTGAGTTTCTTCCTTTCCGGCACCTGGGAATTCCCCCTCCCTTCCCCTGTTTAGAGTTCAGTTATATATTTTTATAATTTTTCATGTTGATCTTGCATTTCAGTGAGTGCATTTGGGCACGTGGATGTATTAGTTCAGTCTGCCTTGTTCCTTGAATCAAAAGTCTAATAAACTATTTCTTAATTTCTTATTTCTTAATTTTATTCTCTACATTGTCCATAAAAAGGATTTGAGGTTGGATTATGTTATTCTCGTTAAAAATATTATTTATTTTTAAAATGGATAATACATGCATGTGGTAGTCTACATGTGTCCCTTTGTCCTGTTCCCACCCAGTTTGCCTTCACAGGTACAACCAGTTACCAGTCTCTTATATATCCTAGAGATAGACCATGCACTAGTTTATTCTTTAACAGCAGCTTTAGTGTTTATAATTTAATCTTGTAACCAATATTCAGGAGTTTTCCATCTGTTTGACCAGTAACAATTCTATTTTCTTCTTTTCTGAGAGCTTTTGAAGGAGAATTTTATACTAGTTATATGTTACGTGTATGTTTATATACATGTGCATGGATTATCTGTGTTTTAACTTTTGTTCATTTCAGAAATCCCTCGAAATGTGACAGAAAATGACAAAATAATGTAGACTGTTGATTCAAATGTTTTAAGTCACTACATGGAATATTAAAATAATGGAACAATAGCCCTAATTTTTGGGAGATAGTAGAAATGATATTTTAAGATGTTGGAATCTTATGAAACACAATGAGGATATCCTTAAAACTTGTCCTAATTACTAACCAATACATGCTATTGTTTGCATATGCGCAAATAATCGCCTATAGAAATGATGGGTCTGTCAAAGATGAAGCCCTCTCTTAGGTTCCTCAGCCACAATATATACCATTGATTGCCTAACTGCAGCTTGGTGAAATTCAGTGACATGGAAGCAAGAAATGGAAGCCTATGACCTGATATGTTTTCTTCCTTAGATCAACCTCTCTACTTCTCCTACACCTGCACAGTTAATAAGCCGTTCCCAGGCTTCCAGTTCTACCAGTGGCAGTATTACCCAACAGACTATGTTACTAGGGAGTACCTCCCCTACCCTAACGGCAAGCCAAGCTCAAATGTATCTCCGAGCTCAAATGGTAAGATATGAGCTACCAGATTTTTTCAGTGTTTAAAGACGTGAGAGAGATCAAAATGTTTCTTGATTTGATGCAATAGGAGGCATTTTTAATATTTAAGAAATGTTTAACAAAATTTTTGTGTATGTGCCTAGCTCTTATACATTTATGTCATGAAAAATTCTACCTTTAATTGGTAGGCCTTCTTGGTGTATCAAATAGTAATTAGCAGCATTAGGGAGCTAACAGATTCTGTAACATAGGAGTGATTAATTTTTAATATCAAATTTCTTTGATTTCAAACCCTTTTTCATATTTTAACATCTCTGAAACTGAGATGCATTTTATAATTGATGGCATCTTACGGTTGTAGTTGGTGCTTGTAGTGATACATAAAATCACCGTATATCTTTGACATCTTAGATTTGATGAAATTGTTAGAAACATAAAAAACTTGGTTGTTAACTATAAATTAGAATTTATATTGTGGGATCTTCTGAAATCTGGATTGGAGTTCGTGATAATTTACCAGATGAGTCTTAGCTTTGGTTATTCCCGTCTTAAAATCTGCAGGGTGATTTGTGTTCCTATGCTCACTTTGATCTTTTGTTAATACAGGAATGTTAATTTGGCTATTGTGTTATCTACTGATTTCCTAATTTACTTGTTGAGCCTTCTTTAAGGAATGTAAAAATTGGTTGACATTTACTTTATTTGATGTCTTTACAGGTAGCTAGAGAAGAACTTTGTCCCTGATATGTATTTATTTATATTCTTTTTTATCCAGTGAACTGAATATATATCTGGATCCCCAGTTCTACACTAAAATTGCAAAGAAGGTTTCCATCATATTTCTAACAGGAAACAATGATATGACCCTCTTTTTATTTACAGACTATTCAATAGACATTACCATATTTCTGGGTTTTTTCCCCATGAGATCTTATTTAATCAGTAATATACTTCAGAATTAGGGAGAACCATTTGAAATGGTTGCTACTGGACTGTTTTTGACTTCTAAAACTGACAGTTTCATATGGTTCACGCTAGATAGAACATCTTTTTAGGTATAGTGCTTTTAGCTGTTTGTACTGGAAATTACCTTCTTGTGAAAGTTATACTTGTTATTTAATTCACTTAAATTTAGTATGTAAAGAACTGAAGTTTAAATGATCCTTTAATTGGTAATTTTAATTTAAACAGAAATGGCTTTTGAGGAACTGTATAACTTGATGCAATTTTGAGATAGAGTATTCACAGGTTCTTTGAAACAACTGTCATAATTTACTAAATTGGATTGGATAATCTCTGAGTGGATTGTATTGCCTTTTTAAATTAATGGCATTCTGTTTCAGTATTGAAAAAAAAAGTATTTGAAAAGAGATGGTGATAATTAAATAAATCAAGTATGTCTTTCCTTTCTTTTTCTTTTCTTTTTTTTTTTGATGTGAAGTTTTTTTTTTGCAGGCTGCTTTGTTGTTGACTTTTAACATGTTGTGGCATTTACATTTAGAATGAATATTTCTTTACAAATAGTTTTAAAATCAAGAGCAACCTAGGTTTGTACTACACAGATCCTGTGTAGCTGAGTGAAATATTGTAACGTAGCATGTGGCATAGTTATCCTTTGGGGTAAAGAGGACTGAAAAGACTTTTTGGTGTTTCTTTTCATGTTTCTCACTGAAATTTAGTTTGCATTCAAGAGCAGTGACTATGGTTGCCTATTCTAACTTCCATTTTAGGAATCCTGCCACAATAGTTTTGAGCTGGGAAAAGTTTAAGTATAATAGCTTATTTGGGGAAAAATTTGGTATGAGGATTTCATATTGCCAAAATACATTTTCTTTTTTGAGCACTGATTTATTTTCTACTCATCAGAATCATGAGCTGTTTCAAAAATGTTTCTGGTTTTTTTTTTTCCTTTTGAGTTCTCTATTATCAAAAAGTTCTCCTTGTCATGTAAGACCTTTTGCTTAGGAGACAATCCTAAACTGCATTGTCTTTCTGTCACAAATTTCAGTCTCTCTTGCCTGCTATACATTGTGTGTGGGACATGTTCTTTTGTCTTAGGGTATTTTTTTGGTTTTTCTGTCTGTACAGCTGATTTTCACACCCGCTACCACTGTGGCTGCTGTACAGTCTGACATTCCTGTTGTCTCGTCGTCATCGTCATCTTCCTGTCAGTCTGCAGCTACTCAGGTGAGCTTGTCTGGCTTCATAATGTGGTACTTAAGGTCTGGGTCTTCAGGCTATAGGTAAACATACATTTGTGTTTAAGTTACTGATAGTTTCAGTGCTCTTTGTCACACATTTCAGATCAACATTTAATCCAGTGAGAACTTCAAGAAAATTTTTTGGTTTTATAGAAATTATAATGCCATTAAACAGGGATATTTAGGTTATTTGACATTAGTGAAAGTTAATACGTTTTGCTATGACATTGTATGTTTAGTTTTATTGTAAAGCAGATTTATTATGTGAGATGTATTCTTTTCTTTAGATTCCTTTGTAAGCAGTTAGGTAATAACCGTGTCACGATGGCTTTTAAATTTAAAAATGAGCTGGGTAAACTTTAAACTTAAAAAATTGAGCAGAATGTTACTCAGTTTTTTGTTTATACTTTGGTTGGTACTATGGAAAAAATGAACTTTAATTTTCTCCTTACACCATTCACAAAAATAAACCAGAAGTAATGTAGACCTAAAGACAAAAGACAAAACTATAAAACCTCTAGAAGAAAACATAGGGGATATCTCTACAACTCCAGGGTAGGCAAAGCTTTCTCAGATAGGACACAAGAAGCATTAACTGTAAAAGAAAATAATGATAAATTGGACTTTATCAAAATTTAAAAACTGTTCTTCAAAAGACATTGCTACATAAACAAAGAGGCAAAGCCACAGACTGAGGGAGAATGTTCACAATACATATATCTGACAAAGGACTTGTATTCCGAGTATATAAAGTGGGTTTACAGCTCAGTAATAAAATCATAAACAGTTCAGTTAAAAATGGGCAGAAATTTGAACACTTCACAAAAGATATGCGAAAGGCCAAGAAGCACATGAAAAAATGCTCAACATGATTAATCTTCCTAGAAATATAAATCAAAAGCACAGTGAATATCACTACACACTCACTAGAATGTCTGAAATGAAGGAGACTGAAAATGCCACATTTTGGCGAGAATGTGGAGGAACCATACTATCATATGTGGCTGGTGAAAGTGTAAAAGAGTACAACCACTTTGAAAAAGTTTTCTTATAAAGTTAAACATATGCTTAACATGTTACCCAGCAATTCCACTTCTAGATGTTTACCCTGAGAGATTTGAAAACATATATCCACATGAAGATGTTTAAATGAATGTTCGTAGCAGCTCTATTCAGAATAGCCCCAAACTGGAAGTAACCACTGTCTTTTAACTGGTGAATGGATAAACATATTGTGGAATATTACTCAGAAATAAAAAGGAAGAAACTACTGGTACATCTCAGAAACATTATAATTAGTAAATGATGCCAGACATCACAGAGTGCAATACTCTGCGACTCTCTTTATATGAAATTTCTGAACAGGCAGAACTAATCTATAGTGAAAAAAATGGATTTGTGCTACCTGGGGCAGAAGGTGGGGGCGATTGACTGGGAAGGGGTATGAGTGATGGAAATGTTCTATATCTTGATTGGGGTGGTGGTAACATGGTATATACATAATGTCAAAACTTATTGAACTGGTTCATTCATTTTATTTTATGTAAGTCACACCTCAGTAAAGTTAATAAAAATGAATGAAATTGAGTAAATTTTAAATTAAAACAGTTCAGTAGACTTTTATATTGTATGATACCATTTTGATATTTTTCCATAGATAATGTTTTGGATTGCATATGGCAGAAATTGGTATATCTCAAGGTCATCCTTGGCCTCGAATTTTTAATTTAATAATCTCAGTCATCTGGTAAAAAGTAAAAAATGAGATAGCCATACTATTCTTTGGTATTTTTCATAGAATCTCTATTTTATTTAATAACAAAGTCCAATTTTCATATATCAGCATATAAAGATGGTGATCAGTTAAACTCCAGTTTCTCATAATGTGCTCTGTGACCCTCTATAGTTCCTTAACTTATTTGGACTTCAGTTTCCATATTTACAAAATGAGACTTTTGTTAACTTTAAGGTTTTTTCAGCTCTAAACTTTAAATGTCTCTTTGTGGAATGAAGTTGTTGAAGATATTATCTTCCTGTTTGTTTTGTTTTGTTTTGGTTTGGTTTTATAAAACCTGTCAACTTCCAGAATGATAAAGTGGCATGGAGCTAGGCGTGTGGTTGCCATTGAAATTACATGCATGAAGTCCTGCATGGGCTTAAGTTCAACTCCCACTGCAATCATTTATTAGTTGTATGACTTGAGATAAGTTACCAAACATCTCTAATAGTTATACATACTTGCAGGGTAAGTTGAAGAGTGAGTAATATATGTTTAGTGTCTAGAATATTGTAGGTACTCATTAGTACTTTTTCTGCAAAGGGGAGAATAGGAAGACCTGGGTTTATATTCTGACTTCAGCAACAGTTGCTTTGTCACTTGCCAGTTGATTGATTTTGGATAGGTCATAGTATAGCATGGTGTTTATAAGTTTGGACTCTGGAGCCAGATTCTCTGGATTCAAATACATGTTCTACCACCTTCTCATTGTATATCCTTAAACCTCAGTTTCAACAATATAAAATAAAATAAATGTATTGCTTCGTAGGGTTGTAATGAGGATTAAATAGGTTAATAAATGAAAAACAGAACAGTGTCTGTTACCTAGTGAGCACTCACTAAATGTTAGCTGTTATTACTTATGCTAAGCCTCAGTTTCTTCACTGTGAACTGGAAGTAATAGCTCAGAGTTGTTACAAGGAATAAATGAGACAGTAATCATAAATAAAGCACTCAGCATAGTGCCTGGCACATAAGATATCACATGCTACTAATTACTGTTTTTGTTATGCACTGTCTAAAGATGAGTCATGAATTTGGTTCTTAGCTTTCATGTAGCTAATAGTGAAGAGAGAAGCTCAACCATTTAAAGGATTTGCAGTTTCCAAGGTAAAATAAACCAGTTATTAGGAAAATACAACTAACAAACTCTCTAGAGCACAGTCTGTTTTGTGGGTTCTCATAGTCAAAGTAATTTGTAGAATTAGCTCTTTGGGGTCCAGTTTGATGTGTATAGGTACGTGGCTTTCTAATAATCTGACTCATTTCAAGGATAGACTGAGGAACTAGAGGGATGGATTGACCTTTAGGAACTTCTCTACTAATGTTTTTCTTTGCTGTGCTTTAGAAGTGGCAGTGAATGAGGCTGACAGTGGTAGGTGATGCTAATATTTTGAATATTCCAGTGGTAACTTTCCTCAAGTTCAGGGCTGTTAGTTTTGAAAAATTTGTGCTCCACTTTGTTAATTTTTAAACATATATTTGCAGTTTTTAAAACACTTAATTTGTTTGTAATTGAGAAATGCCAAATTTGAAGTTTTATTTTAATACTCTTTAACTGACAAAAGTCAGTATAACAGTTAATTTTTCCTCAGTATTAAAATTTATAGCATACTGTAAAAAAAATGAGAAATTTGGAATATCTTACCATTTTAAATGCTCCATCTCTTCTCCTTATCATGAAAAAAAAAATGTGACTTTCAGAAAGATATCATAAGACTAAAAAAGTATGTCATAGAAAAGTAAGAAATCTTACCAAGGCTCTCTGGGCAATTCTGTAAGAATTGAGGAGAAAACAGCCTTTTAGATTTAAAAGCTAGAAACAGTTCTACTGCTGGCAGTGTGACATGAACTCTTAATTTCCTTATGTACAAAGAAGAGATCCTACGATAATTCACACATTATTTATTAGATCCAAATTAAAAAACTGAAGTGAGGGTATTTGGATAATCCACTATAAAAATGTAAGGTGTGAAATTAGCAAAAATACTTTGTGGGAAATCTAGACTTTTTCAAAAGTCAGAAAGTTTCCCTAGACTGATCACAGGAAAAGTTCAGATGAAATTAAAGTTGGGCATTAGATGCCATAATATTCTTTATCTTAGAAAGGGTGGGTTCTTTTTAAAAGTGAAGCTCTGTCAAGGAAATCTGAATATGTGATCTATTAACAGCTCAGTTAGCTCTGTATATGCTTTAGGAGTATAGTTTACATGTTTGAAATTTATTGTAAATATTTAAGCCAAGATGACCATAGATAGTAAAGCCATATTCTAAAATTTATCTATTCATATAAATAACATATAGTATATAATATGCACATGCATACGTTTTCTTTCAGAATTCCAGAAAACAAAAGGAAAATTAGAAGAAAAATATATTATTCTATAGAAGTGGACTGCTACAGCTTAAGGGTTCACTGTGTCAGATCTTCATTTACTTTGAATATGCTTTTCCTTTGAAGGAAAGCTTTTGTTTTTCAGGTTATAGTTCAGACCTTGATTACCATCATTCTGTGGTCCACCTTATACATTATTTATGGCAGATGTTAAATTTCTTGCTGTTTTTCCCTTGCTTCCTGAGAGATTTTAATATTCCTCTGCTAGACATTTGTTGAGATTTCTTTTGGTAAAACATGAACAGATTTTAATGTTAGCTTAAGAAAACCATAAATAAAACAAGAGCAACAAAATCCATGCAATACATTTTTCAGAATCAGACATAGGAGAATACCTCAGACTTGTGTAGTTTCTGTTATGTCTGCAGCCGGAATTGCGGGGAGTACAAAAATGAATGTCAGAGATGAGAGCCTGCCAGTCAGAGTCTCAGTATTTCACAGACACAGACATTAGTAATTCTAAACCAAGCTAGATGTTTGTCATTGGTATAGGCCACTATGATCCAAATTCTATGGGAAAAGCATAGAGGGGAGGAGAAATTATTTCTAACCAGGGACTTCGAGAGGTTTCTTTGGGAGAATGGGTAGGAATTTTAATGGTCTTGAGCACTGTGTTGGGCTTCAAGAGACAGCGTTGAGGAAAGAGGAATTTGAGCAAGGGCTCTAAATGAAGACAGTGCAAGGTATGTTTGGAGAAGGGTGAGCAGAACAGTTTGGCTAGAGTATGAGGATTGTGAAATAAATAGTGGAAAAAGGGGCTCAAAGCAGTTTGGGCCCAGACTGTGGAGGGCTTTGAGTGGCAAGCTGAGAAATCTGGATTTTAGCATATTTTATTTTTGCATTAAATTTCAGTAATACAGCAGTAACTAGTCCATTTACAATGCTGTGAAATATTTGACAAAAATCAGAGAAGATGCTCCATATGATCTCACTTAGAAAATTCTTTCAGTAGCTTAGAATAGAACTGATTAAAACTTCAGCTGCCCTGAAGTAAACACTTATTTAGCATCTGCTGTTGGCTGAACACTGCATTGGCACTTGGAAAGAGAAGGTATAGAGCATCAGTTAATGATACAGTTGATATCATTGATAGGAGTTGATATCAATGATAAAGAGACAGAACACACATGAAACTGAAGAACATTCATAAAGCAGCAATATATTTGTTACTTTAGAATCTCTTTTACTTCCATTTCCCTCCCAGGGCCAGTGCTAGCATAAATGTATTAGGTGCATTCATTTCTGAGGCAAAAGTTTAGGAAGCTATTGGAGAGGCATTTTGCCTTGCTGTTTGATAATGTTATAGACCTCAGGTGAGAGTAATTGGGATAATCCTTGCCACCATCCAGACTGGCAGTGTGTTTAGAATAGCCCCGGTGTAGATAGGAGTCATCACGTAAACCATTTCAAGGCCATGCACGATGTCTTTAGTTCATGGGATCTAGTTCTCAAAGGCAAATGAGTGTTTCATAACCACCACAACAAAATCTCACTAACTCTTTAAAGTTAGTTAATAGGAAATGCTTTTCATAATTATCACAATGGGGTAGGTGATTTCATGAATTTGTCTTCTTACTTAGAAGATTAATGTTCTCTTATAATCTCTATAGACCTATTAACTTGCTTTTTTTGTTATCTTTCTGATCTTTATTAAGATAGCAATATTATATCCACACTATCCTAATCGTGCGTAGTAATTTCTCACAAGTTTATGAGGGACTTGTAGCCTTAAAATGTTTCACAATCCTGTCATGGAGAACTCAGTGAAGTAGAAGGAATTGCTCATTCTTCCCTCCACACCCTGGGCTCTCCCACCTCTGCAGCTTTGCTCAAGTTTTCCTTTTTGCCTGGAATGTTCTTCCTCGTTCTCCTTCCTTTTGACTGTCTCTGACCTGGTAACTTTAAAATGCAGTATGTTGCAGAGTAATTTCCTCATATTGATAGTTCATTTGCAATATATATATATGTGTGTATATATATATACATATATATATATATTCTATTTTCATTTAGTTCTTAATGATTCTTTTCCTTAATGTCTTTTTAAAAAAATTGCCACTTAATGTTTAAGATATGATTACTTAGAATAATAGCGCCCCTTTCCTTCAGGGTTAATTAGTTGTTTCAAGTGCTTGTAGCTTTATGCATAATATAAAAAGCATAATATAAATGTGTTGTCATTGTTGTTATAATGGTAATGATTACCACATCAATTAATACCATCTGTTTCATCCTTATTTTTTGTTATGTGGTTCTTAGGTTCAGAATTTAACATTACGCAGCCAGAAGTTGGGTGTATTATCTAGCTCACAAAATGGTCCGCCAAAAAGTACTAGTCAAACTCAGTCATTGACAATTTGTCATAACAAAACAACAGTGACCAGTTCTAAAATCAGCCAACGAGATCCTTCTCCAGAAAGTAATAAGAAAGGAGAAAGTCCAAGTCTGGAATCACGAAGCACAGCTGTCACCCGGACATCAAGTATTCACCAGTTAATAGCACCAGGTGGGATAAAGCTTTTGTTGAAAATAGTTGCATTATTCATTTTCTTAGGAGGCAGAGCAAAACAAAAGATGTCCATTACTTGAACGACAATACTTTTAAAACATTTTAAAATGTGAATTTTATAAGTTAACAAAAGAACAGTAGTGTAGCTTGAAAAAAGAGAAATCAAAAGAGCCCAACAGCTAAAACAAATTATAATAATAAAATAGATTTTTTGGGTCAGTTGACATTTGATTAACATCTTCATCATGTGCTGGTCTGCTGTTATGTCGATAAAACCTTTTAGCTTTAAAATAATTTGCCTGTGGTTTGTTTAATGTGCTTTAGTGGAACAAAATTAAAAGCTTTTTAAAAAAAGCAAGTATGTATTTTTCTTTAACATTGTCATTAGTGGAAGGAATTTATCAGTTTCCAAAAATAAGGATTATGCATAATTATTTTCCTCACCATGTTGCTATTTTTCCATCTTTGATTTCATCTCTGAGAGGCAAATGTCAGGGAATCAACTAAGTCGTTTTCATTTTCATCAGCCTTTGAATCCCATGTGTGCTCCCTCTGCCATCTACAGATAATGTTGCTTCATGGTTCTCATGCTGGAAATTCTGGGGCCGTGCAGACTGAGTTTCCTTACCGTGTCTTCTGTTCATCTCAGAATTTCTCAGTGTTGAGCTTTCTTCACTTCTAATAGGATAAGGAATTATCTGCTTTCTTCTTTAAAGTTAGCACTATTTCCTTGTGTCATTGATTGCATCTTTTTTACTGACTCCTGACCTTCTTTCATAGTTATTATAGCATCTTTTGTCTCCCTCATGCTGGATCCTTTCTTTTGCTTCTTAAGCATACTTAGATCTTTCCTATTCTTAATATATCTACATATGGTTTTTGTTTGTTTTGTTTTTGTTTTTTTTTGGTACGCGGGCCTCTCACTGTTGTGGCCTCTCCCATTGCGGAGCACAGGCTCCGGACGCGCAGGCTCAGCGGCCATGGCTCACGGGCCCAGCCGCTCCGCGGCATGTGGGATCCTCCCGGACCGGGGCACGAACCCGTGTCCCCTGCATCGGCAGGTGGACGCTCAACCACTGCGCCACCAGGGAAGCCCTCTACATATGTTTTTATACCAGTTTAACTATTGTTTATTGAAAGTGTGTGTGTGTGTGTGTGTGTGTGTGTGTGTGTGAGAGACGCACTGGGCTAGATACCTCACATATGTTACATTAAAAAAAATAAATCTTCCTTTGATCCAGCCTCATCAGGTAAGCATCTTCTTTCTGCCCTTTTATAATTATGCATTACTTTATTTCTTTTTTTTGCATTACTTTTTAAAGATTCATTTTACACTGCTGAAGGTTGCCTTTTCTCTTTTTATGTTTCTTCTGTGCTGATATTGCCAACATTCTCTGTATCACGCAATCTCAAGATCTTGGAATTGTTTGATTCCCCTAGTTAGAAATCTCTCCTTCTGAACTTGTATAGCATTTAAAATATATATATTTATTTAATTGTCTGCACTGGGTCTTAGTTGCAGCATGCGGGGATCTTTTAGTTGCAGCATGTGGGATCTTTAGGTGCGGCATGTGAACTCTTGGTTGTGTCATGTGGGATCTAGTTCCCTGACCAGGGATCGAACCTGGGCCCCCTGCATTGGGAGTGCGGAGTCTTAACTGGACCACCAGGGAGGTCCCTTGTATAGCATTTTTATATTTCTTTGTGGTACTTTTTCTTTTATAGTTATTTATATACTTATTGATCTTAGCTTTTCTACTAGACAGTAAGTAAGCTCTTTGAGGGTAGGGAACTAATATCAAGCACCTGTGTGTCAGGTACTTTACATTTATTAAGTCTTTTAATCCTTTTTCAGATTAACCTTTTCATTCTTTTATCTTGACAGCACCAAGTTATGCCTTATATGTACTTACATCTATAATAGGTGGACAAGAGTAAATATTTGTTGGATTAATAGTTGATTTTTTTTTTCCATTTGGATTTTGGAAGTTATAGCACAGTTTTTTCCATTTGTACTAACTAGGTATCACTGCTTAGAATTCTTCAATCTGAATCTTAGATAAGTGAAGGGTTTGTTAGAATGTATAAATAATAAATCCACTCATAGTATGGTTAGATGTGAATTCTTTTTTATAAACATCTGTGTGCAAGGTCCTGCTATCTATATGGCATGATAACAGGATTTTTGTACTGTATTGTCCAGAGTATTCTTAGCCTCAAACCAGCCTCTGGCCAGTGTTTTTCTTTGTTTTGTTTTCTGTTTGGCTGCGCTCCATGGCTTGTGGGATCTTAGTTACCTACCCAGAGGTTGAACCCATGCCCTCGGCAGTGAAAGCGCAGAGTCCTAACCACTGGAACGCCAGGGAATTCCCTGGCCAGTGTTGATGGAAGGAGTTAGTGTGGAGAGGCAGTGACCCACTGTGCTTGGAATGACTGCTCAGGGGACAATTTATATTGATTTCTATAGTTTTGATAGATTATAATGGAGGGTAGGTTAATTTCCTTTCAAAGAGAAAGGTAGGAAGTCTTTCAGGGTTAGTTCAAGCAAAGAGATCTGCTTTTGGATTTTCATTCCCCCTGAACTCACAATATCTGGTTCTAAGTTAACACTTATTCTTCCCCTTTTCATTGATAGTGTGATAATATCTTTCTAGTTGCCTTCCTCTGATGGCAAATATTTTATGCAAGTATGGAGGAGACCAGTAAGCTAAAACCAACTAAGAGTAAGAGGGCCTTACACCATCCTGAGACTTCAGGACAATTGCAATTCCAGATTTAGAGCTTATGTGTATTAACCAAACTCCAGTTTTCTGTGGTGTTACTTTTTAGAAATAAAACCAAATGGAACACCCTAAGCCACATAAACCTTTGCAGCTTCCAAACTTAAAAATTCAATTTTAACTTAAAAATGCAGTTATTCAAAGCAATTTGTATCTTCTGGCAAGGCAGCAGTTATAATTTTTCTACCCTTTTAGTTTTTCTGCTCTTGTTGGTATGGAGTTAGTCTGAAGCTAAGATTTTTTTTTTTTTTTTTGAGATTCTTGAATTGGTAATTTGTCCTTTTCTTCAATTAGAAAAATGCTTGCTCCTGCAGGTCACTTTCAAGTATTGAAAAATCTGCTTGTATTCTAACATAGTATAGTCTAGTAATTATTATAATAGACATATAACAGACATGGTTATTATTTCCTTACATGTATTTCTAGGGTGCTAACATCATTTAGTTTTCTTCATCATTTCTTCTTGAGGGTGGAATTCCCACTTGATATTTATTAATCCTATTTTTAATATATAAAATAAAGGCAAACTTTAACCAAATGTCTGGAAATTATCACGAACTATATTAGAGCTCAGTCTTTAGAGCTTTTATGAAATAAGTAGTGTAGTGAAAAGACTATGTAGTGAAAAGACTAATTAGTCTGCTTAGGCTATCATAAAAAAAATACCATGGCCTAGATAGCTTAAACCAGGGGTCCCCAACCCCCAGTCCACGGACCAGTAGCAGTCTTAGACCTGTTAGAAATCAGCCCACACAGCAGGAGGTGAGCGGCAGGCGAGTGAGTAGTGAAGCTTCATCTCCCGCTCCCCATTCCTCATTGCTCACATTACGGCCTGAACCACCATATCTGCCCCCCTCCCCGTCCCTGGAAAAATTGTCTTCCATGAAAGTGGTCCCTGGTGCCAAAATGGTTGGGGACCACTGGCTTAAACAACAGAAATTTATCTTCTCACAGTTCTGGAGGCTGGGAAGCTCAAGATCAAGAACTGGCAGTGTTTGGTTTTTGGTGAGCGCTCTCTTTCAGGCTTGCAGATGGCTGCCTTCTAGTGTGTCCTCATACAGTCTTTCATCTGAGTGCAAGAAGAGAGGATATCGAGTTCTCTTCTGTCTCATCCTGTTGGGTCAGGGCCTCACCCTTTTGACCTCATTTAACCATAATTACTTCCTTAGAGGCCCCCTTACCAAACACAGTCACATTAAGGGTTAGGGCTTCAACGTCAATTTTGGGGGACACATACATTCAGACCATAATAGGAACCTAGACTCAGCTAAGACTGTGGATTTTTTTATACCCAGCGCTGCCCCTTAATAGCCAGGTGATTTTAGGCAAGTCACTTCACTACTGAAAGTTTCTTCACTTGAAATATACTGGATTAGTATAGTACCCTGTGTACCTCATGGGGTTGTAGTAACTACTGAATGAAATAATATATTTAATAATTTACAATAATATATTTAATTATTTGCAATAATAAAAGGTTCTGCTGCATATGTGAGAGATGATGCCAATCATTAATTCTTCAGTTATAAGGCCACCCTGACAATACTAAAGTGTTTATTAAAATCAGAGAAATTAACACACGTCATGATTCTCCAGAACACTAGGACTTTTCTTATATGGAAGTATTGTTTAAGATATCCTCAGTTATTCTGTAGTATATGTGCTTGTCAGTTGGACTTAAAGGACTAATATAAAATATATAGACTCATTTTGATTTCTGATCAAAGAAAAATTTTATTTAGGTGAAAGGATAACTATTACTGTATTGAATTACCAGCTCTAGAAGGCAAAGATTGCTTACTTGCTAGAGCACAGAAAGACTTTTTATTCCCATGAATATAATCTCCATTGTACTTCAAGAATATGGTAAATTTTAATTATAACTTAAAAATTGAATTAAAGTGGGCCTTTGCTAAACCTCTATTTCCTTATCTGTAAAAGGGTACCTACTCAACAGGCATTTTGTGAGTACAAAGGAGAGAGATGTGAAAGCATCTTAAGCCCCTTGGTGGAAAGGTACTCTATAAAAGTCCAAGATTTTTTTGAATACTCTATAATAGAGAGTCTTTATCAACACATTTATAAAGTGCTGACATAAAATTTTCAGTCTTGGTTTGAAATGTTAGTCTAGTTATATGAAAATTACTTTGTTAGATGAAATTTTAGATCTAATTTCCATTTTGTTTTTAACAATTCGTGGGTATTTGTTGAACCTTCTAAATGCTTCTTTCTTGAGATGTTAATCAGATGTTAATTTCCTTAAAGAATCTCCAGAATTTCAGATAATAACGAACCAAATACAGAAAGGTTGAAAAAAAGTTGTTAGAATTTTTTATAAGGTCTTTGTCACAAATAATGGTTGAATGTAAAAATAGATACAAGGCATTACAGTCTGAGATTAAGAAAAAATTTTTGCCTGTCTTTAGGTATATTTTAAATGTGATAATGTTACATGATATTAATATTAAGTAATCTTCAGTTTATCTTCTAGTGAACCCAGTTTCCATTCTTATTTAGATAGAGAGGATTTCACCAGCATCTCCCTCTGTGTGAACATATGCACCAGTCAGTATGCAGAAGAGGCATAATGATGTGGAAACTACTTTCTACTTGATTTTACTAATTCTTACATATATATTTCCTGTTATGGGTGGCTCCCTTGTGGAGAAAACTGGTATTATCACTTATAGATTACTGTAGGTTTTTTTTAGTGTATGTGGGAGAGAGAAGTAAAACAAGATCATTTGTCTAGACAGCATGGCTGATTGCGTCATTTTTTCTGCAAGCAAAACTATTGCTCTCCTGGATTTGGAATGGCCCCTGAAATTTCATTTCTTAGTTACTGTGATTATTTAACCATGCTGTAGGATTCACACATGTGTTTTGCTTAAGTAAATTAACTTTTTATACAAAATATTTTCCTGGGTCAAATAGTACCAACTATTCATCTCGGTTCAAATTGGGGAACTTATTTGGGAAGCTTTATAGGTAATTACATTGACTGTTAGTTGGAAGAATGTTTAGACATGGATTAGAAAGGATGAGACCTTTATTTTATGATTTTGAAGTTATCTTTATTTATATTACACTTGTTCAGTTACACTCCTCTTCTTCCCAGAGAAGGAATTCAAGCGGATAAACTTTGTTAAAAGTTAATGGAAATATTCTGGTGACATATAAAATTTAATAAGAATAAATCGTGTAGATTCAGATTTATGAATCAATTGTTTTAGGCAGTTTTCTTTTGGAACTTATCACAGTACAGTTTGTTTTATGAAATTACGTAGTTTTCCAAGGAAAAGTTGTTTGTCATTACATTTTTGAGCCATTCTTGTTGGGAAGACTTGTAATAGATTTCTGATGATTATGACCTTCTGATGCGAAAACGTTCCTCATTTAGATTTATTTTAAAATTTATGTGATTACTTTTGAAATAAATACTAATTGTCATTTTTTTCTCTCACAGCTTCATATCCTCCAATTCAGCCTCATCCTCTAATAAAACATCAGCAGATTCCTCTTCATTCACCACCTCCCAAAGTTTCCCACCATCAGCTGATGCTACAGCAGCAGCAACAGCAAATTCAGCCAATCCCACTTCAAAGTCCAACTCAAGACCCACCACCATCCCAGCACTGTTTACCACTCCAAAACCACGGCCTGCCTCCAGCTCCCAGTAGTGCCCAGCCACAGCATTGTTCCCCAATTCAGAGTCATCCCCCTCCTTTACCAGTGTCTCCTAGCCAGTCACAGTCAGCACAGCAGTCTGTAGTGGTGTCTCCTCCACCACCTCATTCACCAAGTCAGTCTCCTACTATAATTATTCATCCACAAGCACTTATTCAGCCACACCCACTTGTGTCATCAGCTCTCCAGCCAGGGTCAAACTTGCAGCAGTCCACTGCTAATCAGGTGCAACCTACAGCACAGCTGAATCTTCCATCCCATCTTCCACTTCCAGCTTCCCCTGTTGTACACATTGGCCCAGTTCAGCAGTCCACCTTGGTATCCCCAGGTCAGCAGATTGTGTCTCCAGCATCACACCAGCAATATTCAACCCTGCAGTCCTCTCCAATCCCAATTGCAACCCCTCCGCAGATGTCGACATCTCCTCCAGCTCAGATTCCACCACTGCCCTTGCAGTCTATGCAATCTTTACAAGTGCAGCCTGAAATTCTGTCCCAGGGCCAGGTTTTGGTGCAGAATGCTTTGGTGTCAGAAGAGGAGCTTCCAGCTGCAGAAGCTTTGGTCCAGTTGCCATTTCAGACTCTTCCTCCTCCACAGACTGTTGCGGTAAACCTACAAGTACAACCACCAGCATCCGTTGATCCACCAGTGGTAAGCCCTTGGAAGCTCTTTGACTTTCTTGCCGACCTGAAAGTAAAAACAGTTTTCTCCCACGCTATGTTATATCATTAGATCTAAATGCCAATGAATTTAAAAAGCTTGAAATTTCCATCTGTCAGTATCTGACATACATGCTGTATGGGCAAAAAAAAAAACAAAAAACCTTTTGTTGTAGTATGGTTGCATGCTTGATAATTTGTAATGGTTATTAAAGTCCCTCGTTAATTTTATTACTATTTAAACAAATCCATCTGCTATCTTTACAGAGTTGATTTTTTTTCCCCAAGGGAATGCATTTGAACCAGTGTCATCTGCACAAAGTTTTTTCTCTTAAGGTGATTATCCTTCATAGATCCCTTCTGTTGGCTTGTATGTTCTTAAACGTATGGTTTATCTAGCTAACCTTTTTGGTTGTATGCATTCTGAAGTACTAGGCCTTTATGGGGCTTTTGCTTCAAGGTGGAGGTATGCTTGTATGATGTAATTTTTTGGTAAACTTGTATTTTGTAATTAAAACTTTGTAAAAACCAGTTATTCTAGGAAAGAATCCAACTTTGCAAAAAAAAAACATTAACTGTAGGCCATCTTTTAGAATTATTAAACTGATTTTTAAATTTCTACTAAGGGAGAATATATACTTAAAATATTTCTCATTTAGAAAGCTAAGAAAATCTCAGTGGATGAGTTGAATACTGAGGATGAAAAAATCCACTGGGAGGAGTAAAAGTTTTGAGTAACTGAGATTGTGGTGAAATTTATCAAAATAAACCTCTAGAAATGGTACATACTGCCTACAGAGGAAAATTATCCTGAAAAATGTTTTTCTTTTAAACATTCTATAAAGGACTTTTAAAATTTATAAAATAATTTATAATAAAAATTGAAATAAGGTCTCTAAACGTTGGAATGATCAAATTCATAATTAATTTATAACTGAGGAAAACAATATTCTCAAAAGAGGTTTTATTTTTTTATTTTTACTTTTTTTGAATTTTATTTTTTTGTTTTTATACAGCGGGTTCTTATTAATTATCTGTTTTATACATATTAGTGTATACATATCGATCTCAATCTCCCAGTTCATCCCACCACCACCACCACCCCCCAAAGGAGGTTTTATATCAAACCTCACTAAAGAGATTTTATCACTTAAAGGCTAGTAACCATAAACTCAGAAAGGAAAGGGGTTTCAAAGTCTGTTCCTTAATGGGAAACATTTTGGTGCTCAGGATGCAAATTTATAGATTCTTTATTCTTGTCATTCTGACTGATCTTAATAGGCATGAAGAGATTGAATTCCACTTCCTACTCACTTTTATTAAGAACAGAATTTGACAAAGACAACAATGGGCATCTAGAAATAAGTTTGTATTTCAATTATTATGTCTCTATATTTTCTTTTAATGTATTTTTGAAGAGTTTGCAATGGATATTGTAATATAAAAACACAGGCTTAAAAGTGTACAGTACCTTCAAAGAAATCAAATTTAATTTGAATTTATATTCTCACTTTCTAGTTCAATGAATTGGTTTTTAACAAGTAAAAAAATAAAGTTTCTCTATATGCCTTATATTTTTCTAATTATTTTTGTCAGGGCAGACCTTGGGGAACATGTTTGGGATAGAAATATCAAAAACATAACAACACTTGGATTAAAGTTAAAAATATCTAGGATCTTATTATTTTCTGCCCTCTATTAATTTTGGTTTTTTTTAAATTTATGTTACCTCATTTTTGGAATTTTTTTTTTCATGAGAAGAATAACTTTCTCTGCTATCACTGGTATGGTCATATTTGCTACAGATGTTTCCATGTTATCGTTCTTATCTTTTACCTTTCTTTGAGTACCATAGCCTATTTATTAAATTGCTGTATTTTTCTGTTATTACCTTTATCAAATCAATTTTTTTAACCATCCCATTTCTTCATGAATTACACATTCGTTCACAATTTCCTGGTTGTTTCAAATATTCAAAGGTAGAGAGATACTTCTAAGAGATGTGAAATTTTCAAAGATAAGTGAATTTTCAAAGTAATTTTCAGTATGTTTTTTTAAAAGATTTTTCATTGACATTTAGGTATGATAAGTAAGATATGGTAAGTGTAGATAATTTAGAACTAATAAATGTTTTCCACAGTTTGTTTAGGGAAAGGAGACAGATGGGACTAATGTACTTTATTGAGGTAAGTTTGGCAGCCAGTGTTAGTTTTAGAATAGTCATAGTTATGAACTAAAGAGAAATTGTGATGTACAGTTTCCAAATGATCTTGTGAGCAAAACCTTCACTCCTTTGCTTTATTCAGTCTTTTAGTTGTCGCACTTAGATTTTTTTTATGCTGATGGTGCCAGATGTCTGTGACAGATTTGCTTTTGCCTACTTCTTTTATTCTTTAACTTACTTTGCCTTTACATGGGAGATGTGGAAGAAAGTATGTACAGTTAGGCTTACCTGTGAAGAACGAAAAATATTTTACAGTATTCTTTGTTGGATTATTTCAGAATATGTTATTTGTGTTTGCCTCTTTTAATCCTTTAAAACTCTTTCATTATATTTTAAAAATCAGAATACTATGCATGATCATGCATGATCTTTGATTCCTTAAAAGGTACTGTAGTAGGTGTTTGAAAAACTTGTGACAGCATTAATATTAAAGAGAGAGTTTCAGCATTTTATGAAAAGATGATCTTTGGAAGAAAAGTAATATAAAGGAATGCTACATAGATACAGTTGAGCTGGTTGATACAACCATTACTTGCCTAATTACCTCTGAATCAACATCCCCACCACTCTGCCAAATTAAGGTAATCACTACTACAGCAGGTGCCCCTCACTAGAAGTTTTTTGTTTTTTGTTTTTCCTTTAACCCCCAGGACATTTTTTTGGATGACTTTCCCTGTATTGGACATTATCATCATTTAAAAAAAATTATCATGAACAGATACTAGCAGCTATCATTGTTGCGCTGTACAGTAATGAACGACTGCTTTCACTCCTGAGGATCCAGACATGAGGCAAGGACTCTCTCTTAGTGAAACAGGTTTCCAGATTCAGGGTTGTGAGCAAATAACTTTTAAAAATGTTGCCTACTTAGTAGCTGATTCGAATCACAGCTCTGGATATTATATTTGATATAAAATTATCAGTAACAAAGGAATTTTTTAATTTTAAAAAAAAGAAAGCTAATTTTTTCTTAATAGATTATCTTGAAAAATTAGGGGGTTTTTTTTGTTTGTTTTGATTTTTAAATTCTATTGCTGTTGTTAGATATGCCTTTGTAGGTAAAACTTCAAGTCCTTTTTATCACACATTGTTTATGCTGGTTTCAGAAATATTGATTGTTTTTATATTTAATTTCAAATCAAACTTTTTCAATAGTTTGATTAAAAATATATACAATATTAGATCATTTAAAAGTTTTTTGTGAATGTTGAAGAAACATTTTTTGTTTTGATATTTATTAGAAATATTAATCAGTTTGGGTAGGTTATCTTAAAAACTCACAACTTTTATAAATGTAAGTAATAAACTTTGTACATATAAGAAGGGGGTAAATTGCTTTGTGGCTTTGTTTTTAGTGACCTGTCATCTTTCAAAAATAATGGTTAAATAAAAAACGATGACAAATTAAAATAAATACCTGTGTCAGTCTCTACAAGTGGACTTTGAAAATTCAGCCTTAAGTTTAATAAAAAATCAAATAGGTTAGACGTTTTTAAAGTTCCTTCTCAGAGTACTTTTGAGTCCATGTTTTCTTCTTAAGTATTATCTTTACCATTGGATAACAAGGTAGTTAAATTAAAGATGTAACTTTCTTCTATAAGTATGGAACAATATTAAAGAACTAAAAGTAATATGTCAAATGGTTTAGGCTGGGGGGGTGTGTGTGTGTTATTTCAAGGACAGATGTTTTCTGTTTAACTGATACTAGCTTATAAAAATTCATTAGATTCTTGAGTAGATCAGAAGATTAAACATGTAATCACATACCTTTTTTGTGGGTACTCAGACATACTTTTCAAAATTTAATCTTTAATTCACATAAATATAATAAAGAAGAACCTGGGATGTAGTCCTTTAAACAGTGCATTTCCTTACATAATAGGCGTCATTTTGGAGATTTACTTAACATGCTTGTGAAAAATATTAGTATCTATTTTGATTTATGACAGTGGAAGTTAACAGAAACTATAGTAAATTCCCCAAATAGTTGTTTGAGTGTATAAAATCAAAACATTTTAAAAAATTAACAAAATTAAAAATGTGTCCTGACTTGACTATCACTTTTGGGAAACCTTAGTGATTTATAGCTTAGGTACTGATCCACAGCTTGCTTTCAGTGAAATATCATCAAGTATCATGAATCGTCAAGGATTATGAAAAACTTCATTTGAATGATTTTAAAGTTTTCCTTTCAATCTGTCAAATAGTCATTTTGCCTTTTAATTTTTAAAACACTCGGAATTTATTTTGTTAATTAAATTAAGAACACCTTATCAAATGTATTTTAGAAACATTTTTAGGCAGCGTGGTTTGTCATTGCAGGTTTATCAAGTAGAAGATGTATGTGAAGAAGAAATGCCAGAGGAGTCAGAAGAATGTGTCCGAATGGATAGAACTCCACCACCACCCACATTGTCTCCAGCAGCTATAACTGTGGGGAGAGGAGAAGATTTGACTTCTGAGCATCCTTTGTTAGGTGAGAAAATGCCTGAATTTGGGGAAATTTTCTATTAGAGAAATGTTAGTAACGGAAAAAGGTTTTTTTCAATAGAGGTGGTATTAAACTAATTTGCTGTGTAATTAATTGCTGCAAAACATAGATTAGAATTCAAGACTTTTTAAAAATTAATTAATTAATTTATGGACGCATTGGGTCTTCATTGCGGTGCACGGGCTTCCTCTAGTTGCAATGAGTGGGGGCTATTCTTCTTTGTGGTGCGCGGGCTTCTCATTGCGGTGGCTTCTTTTCTTGCAGACCATGGGCTCTAGGCACGCAATCTTCAGTAGTTGTGGCATGCAGGCTCAGTAGTTGTGGCTCGCAGGCTCTACAGCACAGGCTCAGTAGTTGTGGCGCACAGGCTTAGTTGCTCCGCGGCATGTGGGATCTTCCTGGACCAGGGCTCGAACCCGTGTCCCCTGCATTGGCAGGCAGATTCTTAACCACTGCGCCACCAGGGAAGTCCCAAGAATATTTTTTTTTGATGAGGAATAATTAGAACAGTTGTTGAGGAACTACCCAAATCAAAAACGTATTTCAGCCTTTGAATTTCTAGTAGTTTGTACAGATGTGTTTCATATGACCATTCAGATTTATGTGTCAAGCTATTTCTAGCTTAAAAACTAGAATAAATCAAAGTTCTATCAGAAGATTTCAATTATACTTTCCAAAAATCACAAAACATGGGCTTCCCTGGTGGCACAGTGGCTGAGAGTCTGCCTGTCGATGCAGGGGACACAGGTTCGTGCCCCGGTCCGGGAGGGTCCCACATGCCGCGGAGCGGCTGGGCCCGTGAGCCGTGGCCACTGAGCCTGCGCATCTGGAGCCTGTGCTCCACAACGGGAGAGGCCACAACAGTGAGAGGCCCGCGTACCGCAAAAAAAAAAAATCACAAAGCATTTGAAGTCATATCAGACATTCGTCATAATTGCTTGTGATCCAGACTGAGTAAATGCTTTTAAAAGTGTTCTTTCCCAGACAGTATTTAAATTAAGCCTCACTAATTCTTACTAGGGACGTGGATTAAAAAATTCTTGAGTTTAAGCATTCAAATTCTTATTCACTACTTCAGAACTACTTACGAGTTCAAGTAAATCTTCTCTATACTCCTCCTCATAATATCAAAGTGACTGTGAATCCTAGGTATTTTACTAAAACATTATAATCTATAGCCCGGTATCTAAGTCCTAAAAAAGATATATTCTGTGTTAGGGTTTTGGGTTTTTTTTTAGTATTTTATTTAGATCAGGGGTTGGCAAATGATAGCTCACGCTTCAGATCCTTCCTGCTGCATGTTTTTGTATGGCCCATGAGCTAAGTATGGTTTTAAAATTTTTAAATGTTTGAAAAAAAAATCAAAAGAAGAGTAATGTTTCATGTCATGTGAAGATGATGTGAAATTCAAATTTCATTGTCCATGAATAGAGTTCTGTGCAACACAGCCACGTTCATTTGTTCAGGTATTATCTATGGCTACTTTTGCATTACTGCAGCAAACATGAGTCATTGCAGAGACCATATGTCCTTTATAGAAAGTTTACTGACCACTTATCCAGATAATACTAATCTTGGTTCAGGCTTTGTAGTAAGTATTTTATTCTATTGAATATCTCATGGCCTTCACGATCACTTTCAGTTAAGAAGAACCACTGTAGCAGGCATGGAAACAGACTGTAACGGGGCACTGACTTTGCTACCAAAGCAGCCCTTGTCCTCTCTTTTCTTCAGCATGCCACATTTCTATCCCTTCTCTTCTTTCTAGCTTTTATCCCTTACTATACCAATATGAATCTCTGGAAAGCATGGAGGGGGAAAACCAATTTTCCTCCAACTTTTTTCCCTTCCTGAAAAATAGAAAACATTTAGTCAATAAAATTATATAAAATATTTAAGACAAGTTCAATATTATTGCCTTTGCTTATTCAAAATAATACCTCAAAAGATAGATTTAAGAAAATCTAACTATAGTATTAAATCTTTGTAGTTTGTATACACTGAAAATGGATTTATGTTGCTGCAGATTTCTTGGAGTTTTGATTTGAAGGCAGAAATATGTGTTTAATTGGATACTAACCTTGCATTGTGACTGTGATTTAATTACCTAATAAGCATTACTAATGATACTCAAGAAAATTTAAACATTTTTGATATATTGAAACTCAAGAATATCTTCACATTATTTCCTCAGGAATGTAGTCTGAGATCCTAGCAGGCATATCCATCCCTCTGGCTAAATTGTCTAAGTACAATGTAGATATTTGAATCCTCCTTTAATTTACTTCATACTTAACTAGTTTCTGTAGTATATGAGGGGGGAAAAGCAAGCACACGTTGCTCATCAAATCATGTAATAAACTAACCTGTAAAAATAGAGGGACTTGTTTCCACCCAGGATTCGGTCTTCATAAATCTATAAGAATTCTTAAAAAAGCATCCATAAAAAAGAGTAGAAAAAGCTCATAGATCTTGCTCAGAAAATGAGACTGTGAATAGGCAGAGTAACCTGTGGCAAAGTCTTATCAGTTAACTTGGGGTTTCTGTCTCACAGTTGTCTTAAATCTAGAGAGTGTAGTAATTGTGTTTTTTTAAAAACTAATTAATTAAATTTTGCCTGCGTTGGGTCTTCGTTGCTGCTCGCGGGCTTTCTCTAGTTGTGGCAAGCGGGGGCTGCTCTTTGTTGAGGTGCGTGGGCTTCCCATTGTGGTGGCTTCTCTTTTTGCGGAGCACGGGCTCTAGGCACGTGGGCTTCAGTAGTTGTGGCACGTGAGCTCAGTAGTTGTGGCTCACGGGCTCTAGAGTGCAGGCTCAGTAGTTGTGGCGCATGGGCTTAGTTGCTCAGCGGCATGTGGGATCTTCCCAGATTGGGGATCGAACCCATGTCCCCTGCATTGGCAGGCGGATTCTTAACCACTGCGCCACCAGGGAAGTCCCCAATAATTGTGTGTTTGTTCTGCTATAATATGTCAATGTTTCTTGTGTTTTTGATTTTAACAGCTGGTTATAAACTGGCAAGTCATATCTATTAATAACTTTTTTAAGAAGTCAGTAACTTACAACTTTGTTTTCAACAAAATTTAGATCTATTTGTATGTATGATCCAAAAATTAGTTAGAACATATACTAAGCCGTATTTTCTGAATAAGCCACAATATACTTAATGCAGCTTTATATTTCTAAAGTAATCAAATATTTATAAATCTATAAGGGATATTAAAATTTATCTTATTTTTCACTTCTCCATAGATTTATATTTTCCTTCCAACAGAAAAATTGCTTTTTAGTCCCAGTTCAGCATTATATCTTTTATCCTTTTCCTCTAGGAGTATATGTGAAAATTGGGTATGTGGGGTAGGATTTTTATGGAGTTCTTCAGTCCGGTAATGCATGTGTACAATTGTGTATTTGTTCCTGGAAATCAGCAAACCATTATTTCCTGCTGACTTTTTCTTTTCTTTTCTTGTTTTTTTTTTGGGCTGCGTTGGGTCTTTGTTGCTGCGTGGGCTTTCTCTAGTTGCAGCGAGCGGGGGCTACTCTTTGTGCTGTGCATGAGCTTCTCATTGCAGTGGCTTCTCTTGTTGCGGAGCATGGGCTCTAGGTGGGCAGGCTTCAGTAGTTGTGGCACACAGGCTCAGTAGTTGTGGTGCACATGCTCTGCGGCTTGTGGGATCTTCCCGGACTAGGGATCGAACCCGTGTCCCCTGAATTGGCAGGCAGATTCTTAACCACTGCGCCACCAGGGAAGTCCTCTGCTGACTTTCTTTTGTAGTTCTTAATGAGGGATTGTGTGACTTTAAATAGCTTTTCCAGTACAGTTTATCCTGGTGGATTATTTGGTGGAACTAGGTTAAGTTATGGCTGTAATCTTGCTGTGATAAGCTACATAGTGTTATTAATTACGTCAGAGTTACTATGTCTGAACTGTTAGCTTTTCCATTTCTGACACTACACCGATTATCACTACACTATTTTGTTAGCTGAAATTTTTATTCGATAGGGATTTCTTTTCTTTCTTCTCTACCTAACTGCGCTATATTTTGAGCATTTTTGATAGTGATATCAATCCTTTTCATACTGATGGTGGAGAGGAGTTACCGTAGCAATGAAAAAAGCATTGTCTCCAGAACCCAGAACCTGACTGCCTGGGTTAGTATCCCAGCTGCACTGCTTATTAGCTGTGTGCCTCTAGGCAAGTTGCTTTATCTTTCTGTGTTTTGGTTTCCACATCTATAAAATGGAGATAATAACAGTACCTACCCATAGGCTAGTTTTGAGGGCTAAATGTGTTATAACATGTAAGACATTTATACAGTACCTGGCACAAAAGTGCTCAGTAAGTAGTAATATTATCTTTACCGCATGTTCTTTTTTTGTTATTTTTCTCAGACATCTTGCACTCACTGGTATTCCTAGCTATCAGCTGGTTCCGCCTCTCCACTTTGGTACAGCTTAGTAAAGGTTTATTGCTACCGAATGGGGAGGTAAAGTCTCCATTGTAGGCTGTGGGTCTGTCTTATTGTGGTCCTCAGAGTTTGAAGGGGAGGAATCACAGTGATCCAGCCCAACATTTTGCAATTGCCTGGTATACAGTGTTCCCCCAAATTGACATGTACGGTGTCAGTGAAGAGTTGTTAAAGATAACAACAACAACAAAGAACATTTGTGCATGGATGTGAATTAGCTTGAAATAAAGGTAATGCCCTGTATAATTCATTAAAATTTCTACTTATTCTGTGGATTTCATGATTCTTTTTTTTCTTAAGCATGTTTTCAAAGTACTTTTTCCCCCCATATCATTTGGAATATATAAACAGAAACATAGGGAATTTAATATCTGTATAGCTTAAAATTTAAAAGTTTTTTTAGTAATTATTCTTAAATTGACATTCTAAAACATTTTCATGTCTTATGGGACAGTTCTTTGTAACCAAAGTTGGAATGACAACTTTGAGCAAGTCACCCCCTTCCTCTGTAAGTGAGAATAGTAGTATGTATCTCATAAGGTTATTGTGGAGATTAAATGAGATAATAAATATAAAGGTCTTAGAATTTTTTTTAAAGCACCAGATATTAACTGTTATTGTTACTAATATTTATTCTTGAATTTTCTTTCATATTTGCCTGGGCAGAATGCTAAAGATTAAAAAAATGACTTTTTTTTTTGTTCCACAGAGCAAGTAGAATTACCTGTTGTGGCATCAGTCAGTGCTTCAGTAATTAAATCTCCATCAGATCCTTCACATGTGTCTGTTCCTCCACCTCCACTCTTACTTCCAGCTGCTACCACAAGGAGTAATAGTACATCTATGCCTAGTAGCATACCCAGTGTAGAAAACAAACCTCCACAGGCTATTGTTAAGCCACAGATCTTGACCCATGTTATTGAAGGCTTTGTAATTCAGGAGGGATTGGAGCCATTTCCTGTAAGTAGCAAGCAAATTTGTATTTTTACAATTATTCATGTAGCATTATCTTAAAATGTATAATCCGTTGTTATCTAATAAAAAGCTTATAATTTTATCTCAAAAGTTGTTAATCTTTTATCTAGAATTTCTTTATATATATCATTTATATATTTCCAGATATACTTCTAGAATTTTACGCTAGCTATTTAAATGTATAAGAAGAAAACTTTCAGGATATAAGGATATCAGTTTTATAATTTTTAGAGAAGGCAATTATATGTTTACTCCAATGAAATAAACTTTCTATTTTTTTTTAAGGGGCTTGAAATGATACCTAAAGTTCATTAATTTCTTTTTAATGGTGTTTCTTGTATAATATGATACTTTGTGAACTTGAATACAGAAAATAATGACTTCCCAGTGATCTCATACTTCTGATGTTACCCAGTTGATGCTTTAAAATTAGCAAATCTTTTCATTATTATTAAATCTCAGCCTTCAGTCAGATTTCAAAAATGCTTCAAAATGTTCACCTCAAAATTGAGGTGCTATATCTGTCACTAAGAGTATTGTGATTTGAGACTAGCTGTACATTACAGCTATACTAGATACATTACATACTAATATCCAGAGACGAACATTTTCCCTTAGAAAATATACCAAGACAAGTGGCCAAAATCAAAGCCCAAATCAAAGACAAGAAAACAAAATTATGTATTTTGGAGGACTTTGAACTATCTGATTTTTCAGATTCACAGGTAGTGCATTGTGATTGCACTGTGATAGTTGACTGTCTAATCAGTTGCCTTTGCTTTCAGTTTACTGTGTGTATATTAAGCTTGGATCTAAGAATCTCTGATATATAGTGAGTGGAGGAACGGGTTTTTTTCTCCCTATTCCTCAGTGATAGGATCTGGCTCTGCCACATATAGACTGTGTAACCTTTGTCAAGTCATTCAGCCTTTTTGAAATTCATTTGTTCATCCAGCAAATGGAGGTGATACTTTGCTCTTAGGGTTATTGTGAGGACTAAATGTGCATAAATTGCTGTGTAGTGCCTGGCACTTAATGGCCATAGCTATGATTATCAATTATTACTAGTGACAGTTACAACTTCTTTTTTCAGATTACAAAAGTAATATGTATTTTTTAATGGAAAATGTAGAGAACAAATAATCCTCAGCAATACCACAGAGTATATTTTAATATATATATTTTTTCATATGATCAAGGTTATTATTATATATACAGTTCAGCTTCTTTCACTTAGTATATCTTGAGCATTTATTTTCTAGTTTGATTAATAGTACTTAGGAAACATTTTGAAAGGTTACATAATATTTCACTTTCTGGACAACTGTAATTTATATAATCCTTCCATTACAGTTGGCCCCCCATATCCACAGGTTTCACAGCAGGGAGTCAACCCAATCATAGATCAAGAATTTAAAAAAAAACAGTCTACAAAGTTCCAGAAAGCAAAACTTGAATTTGCCATGCACGGGCAACTATTTAGTTTGCATTTACATTGTATTCAATATTATAAGTAATCTAGAGATGATTTAAAGTATATGGGATGGGACTTCCCTGGCGGTCCAGTGGTTAAGACTCTGTGCTCCCAGTGCATTGGGTTCAATCCCTGGTCAGGGAACTAAGATCCCGTATGCCATGTGGTGTGGCCAAAAAAAAAAAAAAAAAAGTACATGGGAGAATGTGCATAGGTTATATGCAAATAATACTCCATTTTACATAAGGGACTTGAGCATCTGTGGAATTTGTATCCTCTGGAGTCTTGGAACCGATCCTCTGCAAGTACTGAGGGACAACTATGTTGTTGGACATTCAGGTTTCCATTTTTTTGCTGTTCAGATAGCGCTGAAAGGAATATCTTTGTATGTAAATTATCCACATTTGAAATCCACATTTTAAATAATTTCTTTAGCATAAATTCCTAGAAGTATAGGTATTGGATCACATTACATGTGTATTCAACGTATGTATTCATAAGACTCCTGAAATATATATTGCCAAATTATTTTCTGGAAGATTATTTAAATTTATTCATATACCAGAAGTGTATACTCTTAGCAGCACTGAATATTACAGTTTTTTCAGCAATGAGTTTTCCATTTTTTCTTTTTTTGATTATAATAGGTTGCTGAACTAGGGAGTCAGGAGACTTGAGTTCCTGATTCTGCTTTTGTAAAGAAATCACCTGCATATTTTTGTTTGTTTTTTTTTTTTTGGATAGGCATTCCTTTGTTTTATTTTTTTAACACCTTTATTGGAGTATAATTGCTTTACAGTGGTGTATTAGTTTCTGCTTTATAACAAAGTGAATCAGCTATACATATACATATATCCCCATATCTCCTCCCTCTTGCATCTCACTCCCACCCTCCCTATCCCACCCCTCTAGGTGGTCGCAGAGCACCAAGCTGATCTCCCTGTGCTGTGTGGCTGCTTCCCACTAGCTATCTATTTTACATTGGTAGTGTATATAAGTCCATGCCACTCTCTCACTTCATCCCAACTTACCTTTCCCCCTCTCCGTGTCCTCAGGTGCATTCTCTACATCTGCGTCTTTATTCCTGTCCTGCCCCTAGGTTCTTCAGAACCTTTTTTTTTTTTAGATTCCAAATATATGTGTTAGCATATGGTATTTTTCTCTTTCTGACTTACTTCACTCTGTATGACAGACTCTAGGTCCATCCACCTTCTACAAATAACTCAACTTCGTTTCTTTTTATGGCTCAGTAATATTCCATTGTATATATGTGCCACATATTCTTTATCCATTCATCTGTCGATGGACACTGAGGTGCTTCCATGTCCTGGCTATTGTAAAAAGTGCTGCAATGAACATTGTGGTACATGACTCTTTCTGAATTATGGTTTTCTCAGGGTATATGCCTAGTAGTGGGATTGCTGGGTCGTATGGTAGTTCTATTTTTAGTTTCTTAAGGATCCTCCATACTGTTCTCCATAGTGGCTGTATCAATTTACATTCCTACCAACAGTGCAAGAGGGTTCCCTTTTCTCCACACCA